TCATATTATTCCAGGTTTAATTTCATATTATTCCAGGTTTATTTCAATTTATATTATTCCAGGTATTAAGGTTTATTATTCATATTATTCCAGGTTTATTATTTCATATTATTTTTTATTTCATATTATTCCAGGTTTAATTCATATTATTCCAGGTTTAATTCATATTATTCCAGGTTTATTTCATATTATTCCAGGTTTATTTCATATTATTCCAGGTTTAATTCATATTATTCCAGGTTTCTTGACAGTTTCTCACAGACCAGCTTCTGTTTGATCTTCTGTTCTGTTCCAGACGAGAAGCTGAACACGAGCAGATGATTCGCTCTTTATATGAAGAAATGGAGAGCCAAATAAAAGAGGAGCGAGAGAAACAGGCGGCGGAGGTAAAGATCCTGACGCTGCTCGTTTAAACTCTGTGGATTCTGTGTTAATAATGAGGCTGGATTCTAAGGACCGTGTCAAACAGAAGCAGAAGAACCGACAGCTGGAGAAGGAACTGAAGAACCGAGCTCAGGAGCTGGAGCTGAGCCACAGCAAACACAAAGAGGTCACCATTCTACATCTGAACTTCTTTAGTTTTTATTTGAAAGCTGCACTCTGTAACTTTTCTGCTGGTCACTGGTCTTCTGATTGTCTTCTTCTCAGTGTTCTTCTCAGTGATCTTCTCAGTGTTCTTCTCAGTGTTCTTCTGATTGTCCTTCTCAGTGTTCTTCTCAGTGATCTTCTCAGTGTTCTTCTGATTGTCCTTCTCTGTGATCTTCTCAGTGTTCTTCTGATTGTCCTTCTCAGTGTTCTTCTCAGTGATCTTCTCAGTGTTCTTCTCAGTGTTCTTCTGATTGTCCTTCTCAGTGATCTTCTCAGTGTTCTTCTGATTGTCCTTCTCAGTGTTCTTCTCAGTGATCTTCTGATTGTCCTTCTCAGTGATCTTCTCAGTGTCTTTCTTCTGATTGTCCTTCTCAGTGTTCTTCTCAGTGATCTTCTGATTGTCCTTCTCAGTGTTCTTCTGATTGTTCTTCTCAGTGTTCTTCTGATTGTCCTTCTCAGTGATCTTCTCAGTGTTCTTCTGATTGTCCTTCTCAGTGTTCTTCTGATTGTTCTTCTCAGTGATCTTCTCAGTGTTCTTCTGATTGTCCTTCTCAGTGTTCTTCAGTGATCTTCTCCGTGTTCGTGTGGTTCTGACAGGTGGGTGTGTGGGTTTGTGCAGGTGGAGGTCCGTTTGAGGCAGATGAGTCGTGAGCAGAGCAGAGTGAAGGAGCAGAACCAGCAGCTCCAGAAGATCACGGCTCAGCTCCAAGAACAACTGGAGAACAGCCAACATCATCTACAGACGGCCCTGAGTCAACTGACCCTGCTGCAGGAGCGAGCGGAGCAGGAGACGCTCAGCAAACAGAGGTACAAGGACGCACAACGACGACACACAACGACAACACACGACGACGCACAACGACACACAACGACGCACAACGACACACAACGACGCACAACGACAACACACACACAACACACACAACGACAACACACGACGACGCACAACGACACACAACGACGCACAACGACGACACACAACGACACACAACAACACACAACGACGCACAACAACACACAATGACACGCAACAACAAGACACAACAACACACAAGGACGCACAACAACAACACACAACGACGCACAACGACAACACACAACGACACACAACGACACACAACGACAACACACAACGACGCACAACGACACACAACGACGCACAACGACGACACACAACGACACACAACAACACACAACGACGCACAACAACACACAATGACACGCAACAACAAGACACAACAACACACAAGGACGCACAACAACAACACACAACGACGCACAACGACAACACACAACGACACACAATGACACACAACAACAACACACAATGACGCACAACGACAACACACAACAACACACAACGACACAACAACGACACACGACGCACAACGACACACAACAACAACACACAAGGACGCACAACAACACACAACAACACACAATGACACGCAACAACAAGACACAACAACACACAACGACGCACAACAACAACACACAACGACGCACAACACACACACAACAACACACAACGACGCACAACGACAACACACAACGACGCACAATGACAACACACACAACACAACACACAACAACACACAACAACACACAACGACACACACAACGACACACAACGACGCACGACACACAACGACACACAATGACACACAACAACAACACACAAGGACGCACAACAACACACAATGACACGCAACAACACACAAGGACGCACAACAACAACACACAACGACGCACAACGACAACACAAAACGACACACAACGACACACAACGACAACACACAACAACACACAACGACACACAACGACAACACACAACAACACACAACGACACACAACGACGCACAACGACGCACGACACACAACGACACACAATGACACACAACGACGCACAACAACACACAATGACGCACAACGACGCACAACAACAACACACAACAACACACAACGACACACAACAACACACAACAACAACAACACACAACGACACACAACGACATACAACGACGCACAACAACACACGAACACACAACGACGCACAACAACACAACAACAACAACACACAACAACACAACAACATAACAACACACAACAACGACGCACAACAACACACAACGACAACACACAACAACACACAACGACACACAACAACACACAACGACGCACAACGACACACAACAACACACAATGACACACAACGACGCACAACAACACACAATGACACACAACAACACAACGACACACAACGACGCACAACAACACACAACAACACACAACGACGCACAAACACACACACACACAACACACACACACACAACAACGCACAACAACACACAACGACGCACAACAACACACAACGACACACAACGACGCACAACAACACACAACAAACACACAACGACACACAACGACGCACAACGACACACAACACACCGTCAGAGTTGTAGAGGGGCTCGTCTGGACTCACACAGTTCCTCTGTTCTTCTTCTTTTTCTTCTTCTTCTTCTTCTGTTCCAGAAATGTTCTGAAAGTGTCGAGGAACATGCAGAAGGAGAAGGACAGTTTGATGAGGCAGCTGGAGCTCCTCAGGTCAGTTTAACTTTTATTTATGTTTCACTTTTCTACATGAACAGATCTGTGCTTTACAAGAGCGTGAAGAGTAAACAAGTGAACCGACGTCGTCCACACAGTTCAGTCAAATGAAGCTCACTGAGGTCAGAGTTATAGAAGTGAATTTGCAGCCAGGTCCATATTCAGAATAGGAATTTATTTATGGACAAAATGTTGAGGTAAAAACCCCAGGATCATGTGTCTCAGGTTAATACAAACATTTTAAGACCAAACTGAGGCGGCTCAGAGCAGCAGGTGCAGAGACCAGCCGCGGGTTTTCAATAGTGCCTGAACTGGAGCCAGAGTCGATGGAGCCAAATCGTGCCCATGCTCACTTCCTGTTTAGAACACAGAGACTCGCGGGTTCATCGTGTCTGTTTACGGTTTCTACATGAGCGAAAGGTCTAGACACAGAAACAGTCTCTGAAAGAACCAGCAGAGGGCGCTACAGTCTGTTTGAGAACTGACCAAAACAGACTAAATGTGATGTTCATGTATGTGCTAACAGCAGTGTGTGTGTGTGTGTGTGTGTGTGTGTGTGTGTGTGTCTGTGTGTGTGTGTGTGTGTGTTTCAGGGAAATGAACAGGAGACTGAGGGACGAGAAAGACGCTCGTCTGGAGACTCAGAGGAAAATGATTCACAAACGTCCAACGAACCAGAACCTGTTCCCCCCGTAACCCCCCCCCCCCCCCCCACTGTGTGTGTGTGTCTGTGTGTGTGTGTGTCTGTGTGTGTGTGTGTCTGTGTGTGTGTGTGTGTGTGTGTCGTGTGTGTGTGTGTGTGTGTGTGTCTGTGTGTGTGTGTGTGTGTGTGTCTGTGTGTGTGTCTGTGTGTGTGTGTGTGTGTGTCTGTGTGTGTGTGTGTGTGTGTGTGTGTGTGTGTGTGTGTGTGTCTGTGTGTGTGTCTGTGTGTGTGTCTGTGTGTGTGTGTGTGTGTGTCTGTGTGTGTGTGTGTGTGTGTCTGTGTGTGTGTGTGTGTGTGTGTGTGTGTGTGTGTCTGTGTGTGTGTGTGTGTGTGTGTGTGTCTGTGTGTGTGTGTGTGTGTGTGTGTGTGTGTCTGTGTGTGTGTGTGTGTCTGTGTGTGTGTGTGTGTGTGTGTCTGTGTGTGTGTGTGTCTGTGTGTGTGTGTGTGTGTGTGTCTGTGTGTGTGTGTGTGTGTGTGTCTGTGTGTGTGTGTGTGTGTGTGTGTCTGTGTGTGTGTGTCTGTGTGTGTGTGTGTGTGTGTGTGTGTGTGTGTCTGTGTGTGTGTGTGTGTGTCTGTGTGTATGTGTGTCGTGTGTGTGTGTGTGTGTCTGTGTGTGTGTGTGCGTGTGTGCGTGTGCATCTGTGTGTGTGTGTGTGTGTCTGTGTGTGTGTGTCTGTTTGTGTGTGAGTGTGTGCGTTGTTCTCACAGTTTGTTCAGCTCCAGTCAAATGAGGCTCAGTGAGGTCGGCGGGTACAGGAGCGTCTCTGGGGACGTTTCAGTTGTTTCTGTCTGAGCTCAACTCCACACAAACACTGACACTGATTTTCCACTGGACATGACTGAATCTACGGCCTCTGGGCTGTGAAACATTTTACTTGAAATTCATACAGTTTAAAAGATTTTAAAAAATCTGTTGCTAATGAGTCTGTAAATTAAAATCACCAAAATAAAAGCCCCAGGATCATGTGCAGCAGGTTCATGTGAACATTTTCAGACCGGAATGTCGAGTCTCAGCAGCAGAAGAGAAAAGAGCCAGAATATTTCAATGGAGGTCGACAGGAGCCAGAGTGAGTGGAGCCGTAAGAGCCGCCTGGAGCACTTCCTGTTTGAGAGGCGGTGGTTGGTTGGTTCCTCTGTCCTCGGGGTCAGGGTCTGTGGCTCTTCGCTCGTGTTCAGGTTTTCATTATCTGAGCGACGCTGAGTCAGGTCCACGTCAGTGAAGTTTCAGTGACGAGTCAGAAGAAAAACACACAGTATTAAGAAGAAAGACTGTGTCTCGTTTGTATTTGTCTTTCACAAACGTTCGTTTACCTGATGAGGATTTTAATGTTATTTATTCTGTTGGGAAGTTTTGATGTTTATTTTTGTCCAAACGTCATCAAAAGTAAAACTCTGTTGAGTTTGGACGGAGCTTTTAAAGGTGCTGATCTTTGAGTTTGCAGAAGAATGTGAAATGTTTTTTTTGTTTTATTAAGTTTGTTTTATTTGTTCTAAATTGGAAATGTAAATAAATTATTTAATTTCTCAACCTTAAAACTGCTCATTGTTTCTGTTGATATTTTGCAGTGACATCGTGCTGGGGGAGTTCTACATGTTTGTGTTTGTGTATTGCCGGAAAGTTCAGCAGTTTCCATGGTTCATGTGACCAGACGATTTGATTTGTCCCAGTTTTATATAAGAAATGTCCCAGGTGCCCAGTCTGTTTAGTAGTTTTAGTTTATTTGTTCATTTTCACGAGTCACTGTAAATATAAGAGATAAAATATCAAAGAAAACAAAATGTAAAACATCATTTATACCAGGGCTCGAGATCTGTAAAACAGAACATTTTATTCTCTTTTTTAAAGCTTCTACAGTGTGAGACTTTTTTAAATCATCACTCAGGTCGTTCCACAAACTCACCTCCAACACAAACACACTTTTTTTTTTCTTTTTAGTTCTTATTTTCATTTTTCATGACAAAGACGATTCCTTGTCCACGATCGAACCAAAACAAAAGTTAATGTTAGAGAAAAGTCTGTGTTTCGTTCAGTCGTGTTTTACTTGTGAAGACAGTGGATCTGGTTTTCTAGGTGTTTCTGTAAGATTTGATTTTTATGTTGTTTTTTGAAATACACCGAGTTCTTACGAGCTTTGATACGATCATCTAAACCAGGAGAGTCAAACTTAAACTCACAAAGGCCAAAATTAAAAACTGGGACTAAGTCGCAGGGCAAACTAAATATTAATTGAAAAATTTCAACACCATCTCCATGTTTTCTCTTCTTTGGAGATATGTGATGTTCAACCTTTTCTTATTCAAATAAATGTTTAATAAAAGTTTTGCTTAAACACGGAATCCAGAACAAACAGAAAATAAAATAACAACATTTAAATAAATCATGTCTCTATAGTTGATCTATAGCCGGCGGGCAGTTCTAATACAAATTTGATATGATTTCGTGGGCCAAATATTACTACATCGTGGGCCAAATTTGGCCCCCGGACCTGAGTTTGACATGTCTGATCTAAGATGTTCCATAAGTCTGCTCCACGTCTGTAACACACATGTGCTTTAGAGTCTGAGAGAATCTGATCCTGTAGCAGTAAAGAGACACAAACTGACATTTGTTTTGGTAAAATACAGAAAATCTGATTTAAAAAAACTAAACACAGAGAAAATGTGACTGTAGTGAGTCACATTAGAGCCGAGTGCAACAGTTTTACTTCATTATGTTTCATTATTTTATTATGACCAGAGACGCCCCAGAGTTTTATTTTGAGTCAGATTAAATCAGATCCTCAGACAGAGCAGAGCCTCCAGTTAGCGTCACACCTCAGGGGGATGTTGAGGCTGTTGTTCCGTGCAGCTCCAGAAGGGGGCGGCGCTGCTCTGTGCTGCTCACGGTGAGAAACCCGAGGGGAGATCAGAGGAACCTCCAGAGCTCAGAGAGTCTCGCTCAGGTTCACAGCTCCTCACGATCTTCAGGATCTTCAGGATCTTCAGGATCTTCAGGATCTTCAGCTCCGTCTGCAGCAGATCAGGTACGAGCGTCCAGCTCCTCCTCGCTCACACCCGACACAAATACAAAGAAACTCACTGTTTTTTATTCTGTAGATTAGTTTTCTGTCACAAATGAGATCTTCTTTACATGAGTTTGTCCACAGGTTTAAATCCTCTCTGCTCCTCTGTGGCTTTTATTTATTTTATTGGTTTTATTTATTTATTACTATTCTATGGTTTTGCTCTTTATTAATTTTTTTACTGGTTTAATTGTTTTAAGACGAGTGTGATTAAATCTGAGCGTTTATTTTATTGTTGTTGTTATTATTGTGTATTTGTGCAGCGCTTTGGAAACGGTTCATGAAATGTGCTGTAGAAATAAAGTGGATTCAATTGGATTAAATCAGAACATTTTCATTACAAGATTTAATCAGGGACCAGATTTTGAGTTTAGGATGTTGGTGTAAAAAAAACTGTGAAAAGTGTGTGTAAGACTGTGTGTTCTCCACTCACTCGTGGGTCACTACAGACTTTTATTGGTGCATTTTTTCGATATTTTCTGTATTTTAACTGAACAAATGTCAGTTTGTGTCTCTTTACTGTTGCAGGATCAGATTGGTCCAAAATAGAGACACTGGGACATTTCTGTATAAACTTGGACAAATCAGTGTTTTGTATAAATCTGTGGGACAGAGACACAGACTCAGGACGGGGACGGTCCCGGGGAAACAGGGACGTGTGGACACTCTGAGGTTTTATACAAAAAGGTTAAATTTATTTCCATTGACATGATTTGGTTTTAAAGATCCAGACTAAAGTGCAGTGGAATCTTCACTTGGTTGTTTCCTTCACAATCGCTCGAACAGTCACAGAAACTATAAATACACAGATGGTGCACAGAGCGTTCCGGGCGTAACACCGTTGGACCGTTGGACTTCTGTTTCTGCTTCTGTTTCTGTTGCTGTTGCTTCGCTGCTGCTGCTGCTCGGGGCTCAGGATAATTTAAGCTCAAATATAAAGTTGTGAGTCATGACGTGTGTTGTATTTTCACACTTGTCGGGCCCCTGCGTGGCACCCGGGGCTCTCATGACTGAAACATGTCACACTGAGGTTTCGTTACTCAGATCCCTGCAACAGATCCTCCACAGGAGCCGCGCAGGTTTAATCGCTCTGGATGTCTGTGTATTTTTAGCCGTCTGCCTCATGAAGCTTGTGTTGTGTTCACTCTGTTACAGATGGAGCCTCGGGCAGAAAAAAACACTTGTGGGACCCTCTGCCTGAAGTACCTGCTCTTTCTCTTCAATATTCTCTTCTTGGTGAGTTTAAACGTGTTAAAACATTTAAATCATGTGTAAAACTAAAACTAGATTCTCATTTGAACAAGAGTTAGAGATCTTTATTTTACAAATGGGCTGGTGTGAGCTTTAAGTCCTTCGTGAAGGTCACACCTCAGTGTTTTTTACTCAAGAAGGAAATTATGACCCTCAAAGTCAGAGGGGGAATTATTTTTTGAATGAGCCACATGAGAAACAGAAAATATTGTGAAGGACTAAAATGCTGAACTCAATTCTGCAGAATATGAATTGTAATTCTTTATAAAAAGCAGTAAATGTGATTGTTGTGACGCTGCTCAGACTCAGAAGATTTTATGTTCTGACTCAGGAATGAAAAAGTGAAAAAAAAAAAAAACACGTCTAAAATAAAAGTGTTGCAGCTTTAGTCCAGACATGACGTAAAATGATCAAATCTGTTTATTTTGTGATTCTAAATGAGTATAAAGGGTCGGTCAGAGTCGACCAAAGAGCCGGACGTGGCTCTGGAGCTGCACAAGACTCAGGTCGGCTCAAAGACGACTCGACTGTAACAGACTCTGAACTTTACACACAGTCAGAGACGTTACACTTCAGGTCCCAGGAGCTGCGTCCAGAGCATCAGTAAAGTCTGTGATGCTCAGGGACATGAAAGTGTGAAAAGCAGCTTCAGTCCAAAAATCCTGCTGAAAAGTTTCATTTTCTTCAGTTTTTAAGCGAGTGTGATGGTTCAGAGCTGATCCACCGTCCAGTGTTTAGACAGAAACACAAACTAATGTCCAGATGTTAGACATTTCCTCCTCTGTTCTCCAGGACTTTTGCATTTCAGGAGGTGAGTCATGTGGACCTGAATCTCTACAGGCTTGGTCCAAGTGCCGTACGTTTATAACGGGTGTCACATAAACGGGTGTCACATAAACGGGCGTCACATTTGCACAGTTTCAGATGTTGGGTAGTTTTGATGTGTTGATCTAAACATGTGGGTTAGTGCAGGTGAATAACTTGACTTGAGTTTCTGAGCTCGTTGTGTGACGCAGGAGCTCGATCTGTTTCCCGTGAGCCTCAGGTCCACCTCACTTTGACTTCAAACAGCTTCAGTTTTCACATCCAGACACATTCCTCGTCACATCTGCTCTGAGTTCTTCTTTGACACATGTTTTTCAGATGTTCTGAGTTCGTCTTTAAACTGGTGTTTTTCAGTTGGCTGGTGGAGCTGTTCTGGCCGTGGGCGTGTGGACTTTGGTGGATAAGAGCGATTACATCAGTTTGCTCAGCTCCAGGTTCCTCTCAGTCTCTGCGTTCCTCCTCATCGCCGCCGGCTCCATCGTCATCGTCACCGGTCTGATCGGATGCTGCGCCACCCTCCGAGAGATTAAAAGTCTTCTGATCGTGGTGAGAACACGCGGTCACATGATCAGGTCCTCACAGTGTCACAGCGTCACATGATCACGTTCTCACAGCGTCACATGATCACGTCCTCACAGCGTCACATGATCACGTCCTCACAGCGTCACATGATCACGTCCTCACAGCGTCACATGATCACGTCCTCACAGCGTCACATGATCACGTCCTCACAGCGTCACATGATCACGTCCTCACAGCGTCACATGATCACGTCCTCACAGCGTCACATGATCACGTCCTCACAGCGTCACATGATCACACCATCAGTCAAACTATTTGTGTCCGGACTCGGTGCCAGAGGATCTGTCACTCACACTCGATTTAGATCCACCTCAGTCCAGAGGAATGAGAGGCCCCCGGGCTCCGACTGACACCTCTGTGTTCAGAGCCTCTGGAGGGGACAGGTCCTCAAAACTACACCACTTTCACACTTACACACATGTTTACACACACACTTACACACACACTTACACACATTTACACACACAATTGTATTAATCAAATTCAAATAGTTTTAGTCTTGATGTGTATCAGAGCTACAGGTCACACTGTTCTATGTTTTACTTTTCTTGTGCCATACATTTGATTTTTTTTTGGCCAACATTTGATTTTCATAATTTTCAGAGACTATTTTCATTCAGAAAGTTGGATTTCCTAAAGCTGTCCGTAAACTCGAGGTAAAACAGTTGTTAGTGTGAATAGAGTTTTAGTTTTTGGTCAAAGTGAAACTGAAATCGTGAGTAAAATCCTTAAAATTTCTCATGTAAGAATCACAGCACTGAAATGTGAAATGTGAAATGTGAGGACATCACTGATACAGTTTGATGTTTGATTCACTACGACACAAATCACCCCGATCACCCCGACCCTGTGCTTTTGTTCCAGTACCTGGTGCTGTTATTGTCCATTTTTCTGCTGGAGCTCGTCGCTGGAATCTTCGCCTTCATCAACTACAACGAGGTAAGAACTTTAGATGTGTTTGGTCGATCCTTTAGTAGAATTTGTCATATTTGTGGTGTAATTCACACGTGTTTAAAGATGTTTTCACCTCCTTCATACGTACAAAGTCCTTTTCATTGTAGTTTACAGTTTGTGTTTGGTTCATGTTGTTGTGGTGTTTTTCTCTCATTTGTTCATCTGTTTCCATCTTTCTCTTTGTCTCTTATGTTTCTACTCCAGTGTTTCCCTTTCTGCCACCAGGTAATCTGTGTCTGACGCTTCAGCTGACGCTTCATGTAGAGTTTACAACTCTGTGCGCTGTGTTAGAAAATACAAAATATAAACTAAATACAAACTCTGCGCTGTGTTCCTTTGTTGCTGCATTAGAGCCTGGAATTCAATCATCAGATTATTTAGATGTTCATAGAAGAGGAAGAACAAAAACCCCAAAAAGTCAAGCTAAAAAGTCAAAAATAATGATTGAAAATGTGAAGTTTTGTGCATAATAACGTTTCATCTTCCTCAGTGTGATCCCCATAAATTCCAGGTTAAAGTAAAAGTCGCACAATTAATAGTAAAGTTAAAAATCTTTATTTAAATGTCAACGATGGTTTTAAATAAAGGCTTTTTGACTTGACTTCTCCTCGTGCGACTTTTACTTTTTTGGAGTGGCTGGATTTTGTTTTGACCCTTTTTCCAAGAGCGCCCCCTACCTGTTCTCTCTGACTGGAAAACCTGCAGCAAACGGCCACATTTGAGTTTTTTCTGTAAATTCCAGTTTGTTTTAGTTTGTGTCCAGACTCCAGCGGCACAAACGCTCAGAGGGAACAGTTAGACTTACAAACAAAACAGATCTCTAGATTAAACAGACATCCGGTTATTAGATCAGGTTTTTGGTGTTTACGACACAAGAGAAATCTGATCTTTTCTCTATTAATTGTTGTATTTGGAAAACAGAGTACAAAGAATTTCAAAATTAACTATTCCAGTCTTTAAAACAATCTTTAAATCAGCTGCACTGGTACAAACCTGCTGAGACTCGCACACGTCCATGTCCAGTGTTTGTGCTGCAAAAAGATGTGTTTTGTGTGATTCTGGTTCTTAAGATAGAAACAGTTTTATTTTGGGCTGATGACTCAAAACAGCAGGAAATTAAACCAGATGTTTGTATTATTTTATAAAATATGAATCAAATGAAGTTCCTGCAGACTGACACAGACTTTTCCACAGCCTCAGGTCGTTTCTAGTTTTGTGGAGTTTTGTTAAAGTCGCTGTCGTCAACTGAACAGAAACGACCAAAATATAATTTACATAAAAATAATCATGAATCATTTTAGAAATAAACTCAAACAAATGAAAACAGACACACACAAAACAACACAAAACAAACACAAACGTTTAATTTTCTGCTGTTTTGAGGCTGAGGCACATTTTGAGTCATCGACCCAAAATAAAACTGTTCATGTCTGAAGAAACAGAATCACACAAACTAAACTTTACACCACAAATGAACCACAAACGACTGACGTAGTTTTGTTAGTTTTGTGTAAGTGTTTGATGGTGTTTGACACTCGTAGGTTCGTTCAGCGTCACGTCGTCATTTTGGTCCAAATGTTTAAAAAAAATCTGCTCTAGTGCAGCAGGAGGAGGAACCACAGCCTGGTCTAGTCCTGGTCTAGTCCTGGTCTAGTCCTGGTCTAGTCCTGGTTTAGTTCTGGTCTAGTCCTGGTCTAGTCCTGGTTTAGTCTAGTCCTGGTTTAGTCCTGGTTTAGTCCTGGTTTAGTCCTAGTCCTGGTCTAGTCCTGGTCTAGTCCTGGTCTAGTCCTGGTCTAGTCCTGGTTTAGTTCTGGTCTAGTCCTGGTCTAGTCCTGGTTTAGTCCTGGTCTAGTCCTGGTTTAGTCCTGGTTTAGTCCTGGTCTAGTCCTGGTTTAGTCCTGGTTTAGTCCTGGTTTAGTCCTGGTTTAGTCCTGGTCTAGTCCTGGTTTAGTCCTGGTTTAGTCCTGGTTTAGTCCTGGTTTAGTCCTGGTCTAGTCCTGGTTTAGTCCTGGTCTAGTCCTGGTCTAGTCCTGGTTTAGTCCTGGTTTAGTCCTGGTTTAGTCCTGGTTTAGTCCCGGTTTAGTCCTGGTTTAGTCCTGGTCTAGTCATGGTTTAGTCCTGGTTTAGTCCTGGTTTAGTCCTGGTCTAGTCCTGGTTTAGTCCTGGTCTAGTCCTGGTTTAGTCCTGGTCTAGTCCTGGTTTAGTCCCAGTTTAGTCCCGGTTTAGTCCCGGTTTAGTCCCGGTTTAGACCTGGTTTAGTCCCGGTTTAGTCCCGGTTTAGTCCCGGTTTAGTCCTGGTTTAGTCCTGGTTTAGTCCCGGTTTAGTCCCGGTTTAGTCCCGGTTTAGTCCCGGTTTAGTCCGGTTTAGACCTGGTTTAGTCCTGGTTTAGACCTGGTTTAGTCCTGGTTTAGTCCCAGTTTAGTCCCGGTTTAGTCCCGGTTTAGTCCCGGTTTAGACCTGGTTTAGTCCTGGTTTAGACCTGGTTTAGTCCTGGTTTAGTCCCAGTTTAGTCCCGTTTAGTCCCGGTTTAGTCCCGGTCGGTTTAGTCCGGTTTAGTCCTGGTTTAGTCCCGGTTTAGTTTAGTCCCGGTTTAGTCCCGGTTTAGACCTGGTTTAGTCCTGGTTTAGATCAGTGTTGTGATTGTGTCCAGATCAGATGAAACAGTTTTACCCGACGTTGATCTGACGACTCCAGAAACAACGATCATGATCAGACGTGTGTCGTGTGTGTGAACAGTGTGATGTGTGTCGTGTGTGTGATGTGTGTCGTGTGTGTGAACAGTGTGATGTGTGTCGTGTGTGTGAACAGTGTGACGTGTGTCGTGTGTGTGAACAGTGTGACGTGTGTCGTGTGTGTGAACAGTGTGATGTGTGACGTGTGTGTGTGTGTGTGTCGTGTGTGTGAACAGTGTGACGTGTGTGTCGTGTGTGTGAACAGTGTGACGTGTGTCGTGTGTGTGAACAGTGTGACGTGTGTCGTGTGTGTGATGTGTGTCGTGTGTGTGTGAACAGTGTGACGTGTGTCGTGTGTGTGAACAGTGTGATGTGTGTCGTGTGTGTGAACAGTGTGATGTGTGTCGTGTGTGTGATGTGTGTCGTGTGTGTGAACAGTGTGATGTGTGTCGTGTGTGTGAACAGTGTGATGTGTGTCGTGTGTGTGTGATGTGTGTCGTGTGTGTGAACAGTGTGATGTGTGTCGTGTGTGTGAACAGTGTGACGTGTGTCGTGTGTGTGATGTGTGTCGTGTGTGTGAACAGTGTGATGTGTGTGTGTGTGAACAGTGTGATGTGTGTCGTGTGTGTGAACAGTGTGATGTGTGTCGTGTGTGTGATGTGTGTCGTGTGTGTGAACAGTGTGATGTGTGTGTCGTGTGTGTGAACAGTGTGATGTGTGTCGTGTGTGTGAACAGTGTGATGTGTGTCGTGTGTGTGAACAGTGTGATGTGTGTCGTGTGTGTGATGTGTGTCGTGTGTGTGAACAGTGTGAGTGTGATGTGTGTCGTGTGTGTGAACAGTGTGACGTGTGTGTGTGTGTGTGTGAACAGTGTGATGTGTGTCGTGTGTGTGAACAGTGTGATGTGTGTCGTGTGTGTGAACAGTGTGATGTGTGTCGTGTGTGTGAACAGTGTGATGTGTGTCGTGTGTGTGAACAGTGTGATGTGTGTCGTGTGTGTGAACAGTGTGATGTGTGTCGTGTGTGTGAACAGTGTGATGTGTGTTGTGTGTGTGAACAGTGTGATGTGTGTCGTGTGTGTGAACAGTGTGATGTGTGTCGTGTGTGTTGTGTGTGTGATGTGTGTCGTGTGTGTGAACAGTGTGATGTGTGTTGTGTGTGTGATGTGTGTCGTGTGTGTGAACAGTGTGATGTGTGTCGTGTGTGTGATGTGTGTCGTGTGTGTGAACAGTGTGATGTGTGTCGTGTGTGTGATGTGTGTCGTGTGTGTGAACAGTGTGTTGTGTGTGTGATGTGTGTCGTGTGTGTGAACAGTGTGATGAGGTGAGGTTTATGTGTGAATAAATCGTGTGAACTCTCCCACAGCTGGACGAGGATCTGCAGCAGAACCTGAGGCAGAACATGCAGCAGAAATATCAGCAGCCTGGAGAGGAGAGCGTCACACAGGCCGTGGACCGACTGCAGCAGGAGGTCAGAGGGTTTACAGAAACACACACACACACACACACACACACACACACACACACACACGTCAACACACGAACACAAACCAAACCCGAACCGAGACTTTCAGGTTCACTTTGTACTTCTGGATGTTTAAATGTCCCATATTATTCTATTTTCTGATCTGTTCTAATGTTGTTTCCTCGTCACACACAAACCTGGACTTGTGTTTTGTCTACATCTCCAGAGCTCGAGGTGGAACAGAGTGTTTTCAGTTTGAGAAGAAGAAGAATATGGAGTAAGGAAGCTGTCAAAAATATTCGTGCGCGTAAAATAGAAATCCGTGCATATTTGGCTGTAGTTGCGCATAAAATAAATATTTGTAAACTCTCAAATGAGTCCAGTCGAACATAAAATATATTGTGTGTATTTTATCCATCAGAATACGAATTGAAAAATTACGACGTCATGAATTACAATCACCAAATGAACATTTACGATTACACTTTCATCAGTACGAATATGAATTCACAGACGAGACTTTACTGTCAAAAATACATCATCACTTCACAGACATTATCCATCGAGCAGAAGAAACATCGATCAAGATCAAGACTGAGCAGCTCAAGTTTGTATCAGAGTAAAAACAGATTAATGACACAAGAAGCTACAACAGAACAACAAGTGGGTTCATTAAAATCTATTGTAAAAATGTCTTGAATTCAGGAACCGAACGCTGCTGTATAATATTGTGTAGAAACACCTCCTCTGAACGGGAAATTGCACCTATATGTTAGAAAACATAGTGGAGCCAGTTGGAAACATCCGACGTAACGTTCTCCCAGGATCATTAACAAATATCAGGTTCTCTGTGTGTTTAGATTAAAACATTCACGACTCCAGCCACAGCGAACATCAGTCAGTCTGAACCTTCAGCTGCATTTCTCGCATGAAATGCCACCAAAAGTTCCTCTGGACGCTGAAATGTCCCAGTTTACACCAAACACCAAACTGTCCTGGTTACAGATGTCACAGTCAATGAAATGTTCCACATTACACTTTAATGCAGCTTCCAGCAACAATTAATGTTGGTGTTTACAGACAACACCTTGGTATGTTTACAGTATTTACCGGTAAGTTGAACATCACCGTGACGTGGATGGATTTGCTAATTATAACCCATTATAACTCATGTATAACCATTATAACTCATGTATAACCAATTATAACTCATGTATAACCATTATAACTCATGTATAACCATTATAACTCATGTATAACCCATTATAACTCATGTATAACCATTTATAACTCATGTATAACCATTATAACTCATGTATAACCATTATAACTCATGTATAACCCATTATAACTCATGTATAACCCATTATAACTCATGTATAACCATTATAACTCATGTATAACCCATTATAACTCATGTATAACCCATTATAACTCATGTATAACCCATTATAACTCATGTATAACCATTATAACTCATGTATAACCCATTATAACTCATGTATAACCCATTATAACTCATGTATAACCATTATAACTCATGTATAACCCATTATAACTCATGTATAACCATTATAACTCATGTATAACCCATTATAACTCATGAAAAACCCATTGTCTGAAATGCAGCTGAAGGTTCAGACTGACTGATGTTCGCTGTGGCTGGAGTCGTGAATGTTTTAATCTAAACACACAGAGAACCTGATATTTGTTAATGATCCTGGGAGAACGTTACGTCTGATGTTTCCAACTGGCTCCACTATGTTTTCTAACATATAGGTGCAGTTTCCCGTTCAGAGGAAGTGTTTCTACACAATATTATACAGCAGCGTTCGGTTCCTGAATTCAAGACATTTTTACAATAGATTTTAATTAACTTGTTGTTCTGTTGTTAGCTTCTTGTGCTTTTACTCTGTTTTTACTCTGATACAAACTTGAGCTGCTCAGTCTTGATCTTGATCGATGTTTCTTCTGCTCGATGGATAATGTCTGTGAAGTGATGACGTATTTTTGACAGTAAAGTCTCGTCTGTGAATTCATATTCGTACTGATGAAAGTGTAATCGTAAATTTTCATTTCGTGATTGTAATTCATGATGTCGTAATTTTTCAATTCGTATTCTGATGGATAAAATACACACAATATATTTTATGTACGACTGGACTCATTTGAGAGTTTACAAATATTTATTTTATGCGCAACTACAGCCAAATATGCACGGATTTCTATTTTATGGGCACGAATATTTTTGACAGCTTCCTTACTCCATAGAAGAAGAAGAAGAAGAAGAAGAAGAACTCTAAATCTGCAGGGTTGAAACAAAACACAAGTCCAGGTTTGTGTGTGACGAGGAACCGAGACTTTCAGGTTCACTTTGTACTTCTGGATGTTTAAATGTCCCATATTATTCTATTTTCTGATCTGTTCTAATGTCGTTTCCTCGTCACACACAAACCTGGACTTGTGTTTTGTTTCAACCCTGCAGATTTAGAGTTCTTCTTCTTCTTCTTCTCAAACTGAAAACACCCTGTTCCACCTCGAGCTCTGGAGATGTAGACAGACAAATAATGAAGAGTTACTTTTGTGAATGAAACAAACAAGTCCAGGTTTGTTTTTGAGGAGGGAACAGCGTTAGAAGAAGGTTTTGTGACATGGGACCTTGAAACTCTCTTGTCGACAAAGTCACTCAGTCGCAGATGGTTTTGTTGGTGTTTCAGACGCCTGTTTCCTACAAAATGAGCCCGGTCGTCTTTATTCACGCCGACGTCCCAAACCAGGAAGACATTTGGAA